GACAATCTAGACAATGGATTCTATTGACTGCGTCAGAAGTGTCCCCTTTCGCACGCGGGTCTTTGAGGTTAACTAGTTTGGAGTAGATTGTGTTAGTATTTTTGAACACAACCCTCATGTTTACACGGTTGAGTATCCGTCGTATGTCTTCGGACGTGTTACTACGATATGGAACCACAACAGTTGTCAGCCAGTCGTTTTTTGGCTTAGTTGACTGCAGTGGGTTGATATTTCGGCGTTTGATTTCTTCGATGAACTCCTTCGGATATTCATTGTCTCTTAGTTCTGTAGGAATCCGGTTCATCTGTTGACGTTTATCATTTTTGTTGGTTACTAGTTTCCGAGTTCGAGTAATTAGGCTGTCCTCCTTACATCTTGATGTTGGTTGAGTGGTCAGAATGGAAGTTGAGGTACCGTCCTGTATGTGTATCTTTCCTGTGTATCGTCACCGATACTTTACCCGAGCCCAGTACTTTCACACGGCAATCAAGAAAATTTAGGGAGTTGTCGGTCGTTTCCAGTGTGAACTTGATTTGGTTGTGAAAGTCAGTTAAAAACTGCGTGAATGGTTCGACATGCACTTTCTTTATGACGACAAAGGTATCGTCCACATAGCCCCACGAGACTCTTGGTATCAGAGTTGTCGAATTCAGCAGCCGTTCTTCCATAAACAATTTCGCAATTATCGGTGAAATGGGTGATCCCATGGCAACACCGTCAGTTTGTTTGTAGAGTGAACGGTTATACACAAATAGTGTTGACTTCAGATATAGTTTAGTTACTTTCATTATTTCGTCAGCTGTCAAGTTCGTTCGATCACTGAGTGTGTGGTTGCTGTTAAGACGACTTCTCACTATGTCCAGACATTCATTGATAGGCATTTGTGTGAACAGGGATACCACATCGTAACTCACTTAGCATTCATCACATTCAACAGTCAGTGTTCTTAGTTTCTCCACTAGATGAGATGAATTCTTGGTAAAATGTTCATTACACTTCAAGAGGGTATCACACACTTAGTGATCGAACCGTTCCATCCATGAATCTCGTATTATTATGATGAAAGACGGTGTTCGTAAAAGCGTGGTTAGGTGAATGAATGAGTTCATGAACAGAGGTTACGTCACTAGAATATAAGTGGAGGGCCCAGGTGAAATCAGTGTTCTCACAAATCGTTTCTGGGCGTACAAACGAGTAGAACGATGACCATCGCCTCTGTTATTATATTTCATTGTATTCCACATACGTCTGAGGCCAGACTGTACAAAACAAATCACGGTACAATGGTCTTTATGAAAGAGAAAGGTCCATAATTTGTTTGTGGGCGGAGTATTGCCAGGTTGTCCAGGTCAAGGCAGGTGAATTTTCTTAGAGGGTTCACAACCGGTGCTTTCGGCTGCTTTAAGCCTTATCCGCAAGGTAGCGGGGCCGTGTGGGAAAACCGCACTTTATTGGGGGCTGGTGTCTAGTTCATTGAATCATATGCCCTCTGGTCGGGGTCAAACGTCCAGGACGTCCAATAGACCTCGATGCCTAATCGAGCCTGTGACCACTGCCACATTCAAAGTGTGGTTGAGCGGTTCGTAAACCTCTTCTTGGTCGGTGTGTTTACCAACTTCCCTAGGTGACTTACCAGTGGTCCACCAACCCGGTTATAACTCCAGATGTCGGCTTTTCGTCCTCTCATTTTGGTGGGAAAACGCCTCCGCCACGTGAAGACAGTAAGTGGAGCTTCCTCAGAGACACGTTTGGTCGTATGGGAGTATTTCGCGAGGTGCAAGGGAAGAGTAACCACCCACCCCCGACCATACTGAGGCTTTCGGAGGCCGAATTCGGGACTTTACGTCTTTGGATTACCTTCCTTTGACTATATAGAGAGGACGGAAGGCCTCAGACACACTGACTGTGCTATGTCAAATGGTTCGTAATTGCCGTCGTCGCGGTTCTGGTCTATCCCTGATTCAACCAACTGGAGTGATGCTCTTTAATACGATCAGATAGACGTCTCACCGTTCGACCTCCATAACTTGCGTCACGGGAGCAGACAAATTGATAAACACAAACCGATCTCACGTCCCGGGGGCAATTGTTCTTTGGTCTGCATAAAGAGATTAGGTAGGTCGGTGAATTCAATGTACGATTGATGTCATCTACTCAGTCAATATCTTTGCGATCGGTACTCCTCTGAATAGGATGTAAATGTGGACAAGCTCTCTGTTTTCTGTGTCGGACTGTCGTTCTTTTTCGAGACAAGAACACGTTCATAGAAACGCAAGACCCATGAATTCCTTTTCCATTGTGAACTGTATTTTTGGATGAGCTCTATCGAAGTTCTGCAATGGAATATTGACATCCGTGTCAACATCTTTTATGTTTATCTTGTTATCCACATATCGGTTGTCTATGGGTTTTGAGAGCACTCCGTTTTCGAATTCGGCCTTGGAGATATCTGCTAATAGTGATCCTAACGGTGAATCCATGGCTATTCGCTCATTCCGTTTATATGCTGCACCCTTAGGCTGAAATTGTACGTTATATGTGCATAGACAGAGAACTTACTTGGGCTCTTTCACGGGTAATCCAATAGATTTGATAGAATTTTTTATATGATTGCTATTTGTCTCCACGCTGGTGCGCTCAGAATAGGAATACCTGTTTTACCAAGGCCATCCACTTACAATCTGGTGACGGATCCTTCAGTCATGAACTCATTCATTCACCCGCCCACGCTTTCATTATCGCCCTCCTTAAAGCACTTTCTACACACAAACATACACACAATCAAACGCCAATCAACGCAATTACATCCTATCTCTCTCAACTCTGATCTCCTTCGCAGATAATTGTCTCTCCTCATCACCTGTTTAATCTATAATAAATCGTGTTGGATTTAACCAGTTGATGTATCACCGAAAACGAGCTTGTTTTCAGACAAATAAACACGAAGTACAACATTTAACGACCATACCGGATTCTACCTTCAATCATGGTGCTACGTGCCCCTTCATTGTAATTCATCCCTCGACAATTGTGATTCCATGGAGAGCTTTAAGCGCCTCTGTAATCCTTTATACCCCAGAAGTCACACTTATTTCTTGCCCACCGTGGACTTAAGATTAAGTGAACTGAGCAAAGATCGCTAATTAATCGCGGTTTTCCACAAACCATCCAGCTGCCTTATGGGTCAAGGTTATGCGAACTGAAGACGTCAGTGATAAATCCCTTAAAAAAATCACACTCTGTGGATGGGACAGCTGACCAGCACAAAGAGCGCAAACAAGTCACTCATTGAATCGTGTTCAGCGAAGATACTGTATCGTACTTTGTTTGATACTGTTTTGACCCACAATGAAGAAAAGAACCAAATAGATGTAGAGATGACAGAAAGTACCATGGATTTCAGGTATGCATTTGCTCTAAATATGGGACTCAGCGAAACCAATCATCTTTTTATCGTAATAGAAACGTGACAGACTTGGTGGGTATGCATGCATGAGCAACACTGTTAGAATCACATCATTTTGCTTAAAGGTTTCAAGCCTGTAAGAATTCTTCTACCGTGATACTTAAGTTTTGATGTACTCGGTGACGGTTCCAGGAGGCTAAACACACGACTCAGGACACGTCTTCAGTCCTGCTTTAGTAAAAGCCCGATTTTAAACAGCATCATAGCTATTTTGGTCCAATCTTTTCGGAAATTGTTTTGTGATTTTCATGGTTCTTTTTAACAGAATTGTATTGGTCATCATCTGAAAAAGACTTTTGGATTTGGGCACTTTCCTGGCTTTTGTGGAGTTATGCACGTTGGTCCATTCGCTCTTCCTCTCTGCACTAGCCCTAGCTTGCCTTTTTTGGACTGCGGATGTTTGAATCCATTCGCCGTCCGTACGCAATCCAAGCGGTGTAAGCATCTCGCAACTAAGTACCATTCCAATTGTGAGCTATTTAGCTTAACTGATCAGTGCAGTTTCTGAATCTCGAGTGGGAAGGAAGAGAAGGGGATATTCAAATCGAGTTTTGCAGGGTAAAACGATATGTGCTCCGTCGATTTTAGTCAAATCCAAATGCAAAATGGAATAATTATTCCAAGTGGTAATTGGTTATTCGTTGACTAGGCTACATCATATTGGACACTAAATCAGAAAAAAACATGAAGAGAAAATGGTTAACACCGGTAGTATTTTATCCACTGCACCCCCTTTCCCGATCCCTCCATCTGGCTTGATGCGATACAAGTGCAAATTCTATGCATGTAAAAAGAATGGAAAATGGTACGCTGTGTCCTTGTGCAGCTCCATCCTGTATTGTCAGTTTTCACCATTGCACTGCGTGTTCCCCCTTCCAGTACACACAGGATATATATATATATATATATATATATATATATATATATATATATATATATATATATATATCGACAACGCGTACACTGCATGCGTATCCGACTATTTCATAACAACCGTAATCATATACCACGCACGCCGATGCCTGTTTTTTTTATTTATTTCAACGTATTCCAACTATTCATATGTGACTGTAGTTAGTAACCGTTCCGCCGGAGCCGACTGACATGTAATAAACATTATATCTATGGTGACAACTAATAAAAACATTTATAGATTAAACTTAGTAACTCAATTTTTTGTGGTGCCGAAGTTCACTGATTTGGCTGATTCAGTATGCAACTTTTCTGGGTGCTCCAATACGAGCGCTACTGGGTGACATCATGCGTAACCCAGATTTTTAATATAAGGCGGCAATGCTGATATTGGGTTGAACAGTAGTGTATAATAATAAGTGATCCACTCCACTCAATTGACGTGTTCATTTTGATATCAGCCCCATTCACTGAGGGACAATGTGTCAAACGTTTCGTTTTATGTCAGTGCCCGTATTGTGTACATTTCAACGCAATAGATTTGTAAAGTGGTCAGGGTGAGTTTATCATCGCTATTTTCCACCAAAGTTTATTGGTTATAGACCCCCAACACATTCGAACAGTAGGGTATCTTTGCAGCTGTTTCGATCAGCTGATCTTTGCGCTTACTTAAGAAAACAGAACATACATATGTAGTGTGCAAAACGGACCAAAGATATTTTTATGTCCACCAGTGCAATGATTCCAATGAACTTTCCGACTACTGATTGCGAATATAATTTCATTTATTTTCATACACTGCCCATTCATTACGAGATCGACTTTGTCATCAATTCTGTTTCCCTTTGTGCAGCGGCTAACTTCTGGATATCGTGATTTGGAAGCAATGGATGCAGAAATCGTGAAAAAGACGACGCAACTGAAGTCTCTTAAAGAAAAACTTAAATCCGTTGAGGTAGATTTTCCTACATAAATAATATTGACGTATCTTCGGATCGAGTTTCTTATTGGGTTTATGTTGTTTCCACAAAAATCTGGAATCTGTTCTGTTATGCGCAGTCGCTGAATTTTATTGGATTCCAAACAAACGCGAATAGTAATATTGCGGTAATGGATAAATAAATCGGTATAATGTATACAGGCAACGCCTTGTAAATCGTGGCGTTTCCCAAGAGGTTAGTTTGAATCGAAGAAATGAACAACGCTTACTGAGAACCAAACGCACAATAGAGGGCGCTCACTACTCCGTCAAACGAACAAGTAAAAAGTGAGGCATCGTGAGAACTCACATATGCAGGCGGGTTAGTGTAACTCACGGTTAAATCAGGTAACCGATCATAATTATATCAAACCCATGGTTACTAAAATTGTACAACAAACAGAATCTATATGGTAACACCTAACCGGGGTCTAAGACGGAGGTTAAGTGAGTGAGATCGGACCGGTTTGGTGGACAAATAAGTTGAAACATCGGACTCCCTTTATCCAATTCATTAGAAAAGAGAGAAGACAAATACTGCGAGATGTTTGCATTTCTTTTAATCTCCTCAGTTGCTACAACATGAAACAATCTGGTATTTATACAAGCAAGTTTTGATGACTGCGAAGGTTCAACGGACCATAATCAGGGTAGAGGGTGGGGAATCGGTTCCACGTCAGTGTAACTGACTGTGTCAGAAACGTTCGTGCACACAAGATGGGGTTACGTAACTTGGTTAGCACCATCCCGCTAATAAACAAATAATTGTTAGAAGAACAGATCATCAGGTGTGTTCTCCGAACCGAGTCAGTAGAGGAGTGTAGAAGGCGTCCATGCGTGAGTGCACAGATGATGTGATCAGCAGACTACACAAAAGATGCGTGCTTACTGCACTGATGATCGTTATTATAGAGTACTTATATTCATCCTGATCTCTAGGCGTTTTCTCATTTAATTTCTCAGAATTAAATAATATCTAAGATTGAACCAATTACTGTGCGAGATAGTCCGTTCAATTCGATTTCCCCCCGAAATTATCGTGTGCATCGATCATTAGTAGCTGTATACAATAAATGATCAGCGCCTGATACACAAACTACTGCAACCAAGCTGAGTGAACCCTCCTAATGAGCTCAGTGAGTCCATTGTTTTACTAGAGGTTGGAGAATTCGATTCGATAAGTTATCTATAGGCATATACAGAACAGGGAAAACAAATTTAAAGTTTGAGAAGCGTCCTTTTTTAAAACCGAATTGGGTTTTATCAGCTATGCGAATCCTAATCGAGTAGCAAAACCCGAGATCTAGGAGATGAAACGCAAGCATCTCATCAACTTGACCATCGGGTAGCTGAGCAGACTGTTTCATTTAGTGTATGCATGAATGCGCGAAACCCATTATTGAAGAGTGGTGCGAGCATCTCACCTCGTCCGTCTTACCACTATCATCCACGATTTAGACTCGGTCGAGAAATTTCCAAGCCTTACTAATTTTCACATTTCCCTTGCTTTGTATACCACTGAGTGTGTCACTGAATTCATTTCTTAGATGGTTCAAGATGTTGGGTAGAATTATCACGTATCCTGGACCGTGGCATCGAGACGTTGGAACATTTATGCATTCCTTTTATTTTCCTCTTGTTATTGTTCTTTGTTCACGTATCACTAGTATAACTGTTTTTTTTATTCTCGAAGAACATTAGTTTTACTGATTACAATATCTAGAAATGGAGCTAAATGAGGCAAGGTCATTGGTTGTAGTCGTGCAAGAAAAATTTCCACGAAATATTCCGGAGTGTGATTCTATTTGGTTCGTTATTTGTGGTTTGAACCACCTATTACGAATGTGATGGTACAAATCGCTCCACTTGTTGTACTGTTCTGCATCGTACAAATAGCTATGAAATGAAATAACTCGACCCTTTCTCTCCCTCCTCGCTTTGCTCTTTCATTCACTTGTTCCGTCCACTCATTCAGGCTCGGCTTGCCGAGATGGGTGCAACCGAATCAAGATGCTTGGAGTTGGAACGACGACTGCAAGAAAAAGGTAGGCTTTTGTCCTATGCGCAACTTTTTTATTTATTCTTCTTTGACTCGTCTGATTTGGGTATGATCCGTCCTGTGGTTGCACAAACCTCACTTGTTCCATCCAAATTCAATCCTGTACCGCGCCGGGTATCGAAAGATGTCACTGAACGCCTTGTATTTTTCCATTTTGGTGAACATATATAGGGATGTGTTAACGATTTGCATCGGAATAGTGTCACAACTATCATATTGTGCAGTTAACACAGAAACAAATCATTCCAAATACACTGGTTATGCAAGGAGACTAAATTGAGATTTATCCAGGGCTGATCGATTCTGATGGCTGATTGTAATTTCTAACACATTGGAGATGATGCAACTGGTTTTCCTCTGGTATTTTTACCTATCATGGAAATCGATTCTTTGGGTATGTAAATGACTTGCAGCCAGTCATGAAGTCAAAATTTCAGGTTATATTTATACTCTAGACGATAAAAAATAGCGGTTGATGGGCCTGATTGACGGTTTATCTTAATCTTAACACATTGAATACTTTTAAGTCCCCCTACCGCGGATGTTATGCTTTATCATCTTTCATCTCCTCTCTGCGTTATGCCGCGTAATCCAGATCAAGAATTACGACAGTTGCAGCAAACCGAGCGTCACGTGACGCGAACCAAACTTCCTGGCTCGATGCACGGTCCGTCCAGTTCCGACTCCGATTTGGCACGCGTATTGGAAGAAACCAAAGCCGCTTTGGCCGCTTCACGGCGCGATTCCAAGCGGCTCAAACGACGTACCACGCGGGAACTGAGCGAATTGGAGCGGATCGCAGAGGAACAGTGTCAACGCGCGGGAGAACTGACAGAACAGTTGGCTCTGGTCAAGCGCCAGTACGCACAGCTGAAAGGACAGGTGAGATAAGATGATTATGAACGGTTGGTTCTACATTTTCCAGGTTTCGTAAAACACTTTCCACATGGTTGTTCCCGTTTTATTGTCAACCCGTTGTAAAGCACAGATTGTTTCTGGCCTTATTCATCCTCATTACGATCTGTTCACCAGGAAGTCGATTTCTCAGGTATTTTTCCGTTCCAATTTCATTCATTATCATCAGAAAATTTTATCACGGTGGTTCTTTGCTGCATTAAAAAAATAACCGAATACGGATAATGTTCTATTCAGTACTCGCAACATCTGGTTGCTAACCCATTTAATTGAGAGTGTACAGGGAAGATTATGAGGTTGAAAGCAATGTCGAAGTGAAAATAGAGAATTCTGGTAGACTTAGCTTGCAGGGACAATCAGTAGATCCACAAACGCTGCTATGCACGATATCACGCAGTATATCTTAAATATCGGTCAGGATGATCCCGAGGTCCCCATCCAGGGACCGAACTTGTTCTTTATGGCCAAGTTCCCTGGTTAGGGTTTTCATACCCTCATGCCAGTCTTAGTTTGACCGTTCTAAACTTTTTTTTCCATCCAATAACTACCTCGGCATACATCGTTCACCGTAACAACCGATTTAGTGACATGCGCAACACGTCCAAAATAGTGTAATCTGGGGAGGTAATGGTGACCCAGTGATGACGTCTCCGAGTTATAACTTCGGAGGACGTGTATTCGAATCCCATCTTCACTACTTCATTGTGTTGCAGCCCTTTGATTGATCCCTTCCTCCTTCCTGAGAATTGCACCATTATGTATTTAATAAAAGGATGCAAAATGGAAAAGCGAAAAGATTACCACTTGCCCCAGTGGACGACCGTGATCTCAAACGGTTGGAAGTTGCGACGGCGTCAGGTTGAGAAATGTCAATCGAGCCTTCTGTAAGCATACCGACACTTCATCCGTGATGTGTGGACCAAGTAAGATATGACTGCGAAATTTGTCTGCTTCTTCTAATTCCACAGTTGGATATAAAAATGCGAATGCAGATAAGGACATTCATGGCGTTTCAAGTAAATTGTTTTATCTTATGGAACTGGGAACTCCGTAAGTCAGGAGTGGAGTATCATCAGGGTTGTCAGATATTCACTACTTATCATTCCTTGGAGTGTATGAAGATTACTGTTTTGCCGCATCAAGTAATTGTCCTTCATTCTACGAGAAAAACGGACGCCAACCGTTCTTTCGAATTTCCATATGCAAGTGCGGTAGGTTTTAGAAGTTGCGAAATGTCACTCGAACAGTAACTTTATGATCGCTTCGGACTCTGTATTTTATTCCGACGAGAATATTTGAAAGAGAACGTGGTGTTACGTTTTCATATCGATTGTATTTGTTGATTTTAACTGACCATTATAGAGGCTTTGTCTTCATGCACAACATGCAACTCTTTTAGTGAGCCATACACTCGGGAAACGCCATGAACTCGAGTTTCGTTTCCGTTAGAGCTCAGTAGTAGTGCCTATTTCCCGGCTCTTTGCGGATTTAAACTCCCTACTTTCCGTATTTGTTTTACCAGAATTATCAGTTAAATTTGTTCTTTCATGACAGTCAGTTAGTTTAACTCGACACCAACGAACGGAGACACTACATACGAGATGACTTAAATTTCAGTCTAGTTGCATTTTGGTATGTAGCACCGAACGTTTTAGTTTGCCGTTCAGCCTCTTCTATTTCCTACTCCCCGAGACTCATTGTATCATTTAGTGGGACCGACCGACTGGTCGAGGTCTCATCACCGAGTTGAACAAAAAACAAACACTGGTGTTTGTGCGTTGCAACCACAGAGCACATCTAAACGCACTGCTTTTTCTCCTGTTCATGATTTTAAATTTATCTTGTTTGTCTCTTTTTCTCCCCTTGTTCTCCATTTACCTTCATTTTTTTCCCATTTATTTCATTTCAACCGTGAAAGATATCCACTTACGGTATCTTGATGGATGAAGTGATCACGGTAATCCATTTTTCTGGCTGGGCGTTTAACGTCTGCAATGTTCTACTTGTTCTGTTCCGTTTTGTTCAATGTGTTGGTTTCTCAGAAGTTCGTGGACTGTGTTCCGGTGTTGTTCCGTGCTTGACCTTGATTACGCTGCGCACCTTCCGCTTTTTCACGTTCATCTGCTTTGCAGCAATACATGCATGTGCTGCAGCGCTCTTTTTCATTGTAATCTGTACATTTCGCTAATTTTATGTCACACAAACAACCAGTGACCCTCCATCATGCATTGTAAAATTATACACAATCGCACAGCAGATATCAATATCTCCCGGATGTAAACATCTGATATTTTTATTCCTATCTATTATTTATTACATTTGTCTGCTCGGTATATTTACTTTCGATGGGGTGATTGAATCAAAGTGTTCATCTATTGTTAGTGAATGTGGTTCCATTATCCCGATCTAGAGGACTGAAAATGGTTTTAAATGCAAACGTCAGCTAAACTGAGTATACAGGCGCTACAGACGTCATTGAGCCTTTTTTGTTGCGTCTCGGTATGACGGACAGTTGTAGAAGCGAATCTCATTGCCGTGAAGGTCAACTCACTTATCACGGATCAGAATCGGTGGGCTAGTCTGTTGATCCAGATTGATAAGCGCGGTTTTGAACCAGTCGGCTTTGCCGCTTCAGATATCATCAATCACTGAGGCAACTGAAGGCTGATTCTAAATGCCCCATAAGGTCAGTGAACGAAATAAATAAATTCTTAAAGATGTTTATTGGGCTCATCGTTCGAAACCTTTAATGAAACGTCACCAAGCATTTTCGCATGTAAACGGAAATCTTTTATCGCCACTTCACGGTTTCTTCCGGCTTTGTTTGGTGGATATGCAATGAATTGCACATGGAACGAGTGCTTGATTAACACACACGTTCACTGCCACTGTTACGCATGCCTGTTCTGTGTATTAGATGTTGCTATTGTCCCTGTATGCATACGTTCTTGATGTTGAGAACTCAATCATAACCTAGACCCTTCTGTTTATCGCTATTTGTGCATCAAGGTTGCTTCACAGACCGAATTAAACGAACACGGTCGACGTTTGGAAGCTGCACTGGCAGCTGTTCGAGCGGAATTGGAACAGAATTTACGGGACGAAGAGGAAGCTCTATTCCAACTGGACCCGACTACAGCACAGACCTTGTATGGTCATCAGGGACGGAATGCAACTGATCAGGAAACTCAGGTGGGTTCTTTTACCACAATTGCAATCGAATGACCCATTGTTTAGTACGTTGGGTATGCATGGTATTGAACCGGATGATCCATTGAAGATTGGTCTTCAGTTTATCATATTATACGCTATTAAAAGAAAGTTAAATATGCGAGGTGCCAAAACGCCTCGATGTCCAATTAGACCAGTAACATCTCCAGAACGTTGAGGAGGAGGGTGTGGTTCTTAGGCTTCTTCGTTGGTTTCGAATCAGGGTTTTTGCGAACGCCCTAGTTGAGCTGCTGGTGGTTTCTCAATTTAGGAATAGCTCCGCATGTTGGCTTTCGATTTTTTCACTAACACCTTTACCACCTGGGGGCGATGAGGAGACTTTCCTCTCTCACTCTAAAGATACCTTCATTGACTGAATGCCCTATGTCTACAAGATGTTCCGCGCCGGAAATGATTTTCCTTTCACCGGTAGCCAACCAGGCTGGCTTGTGTTCCTTGATTCCCTACGAAAACTGCGTTATAGTTCTATCTATGCATCTTGCCCCAAATGGGCAAACAAACGACTAAGTGATCATCGAGAATTTAGAAGCGATTTATCAAAGAGCTTCTACTGTCATAGTTCCGGTGTGAATTCAGTCACAGCTGCAAATCACCCTTCATTATCCAGTGACCCGAACTGGAAAGGGTTAACCTTGACTCTGCCCTTATGCGTCTCATCCCTATCCCAATCCACCAAACACCTGCGTATTCTTTGTAAACCACACACAATCTTCCGTCTTTATCTACCAATCGAATTCGCACACATTTCAAACGTTGTGCAAATTTGATAATGCCTTCTGCCTATTTTTATAGCTTTGTTAGGCCGAAGATGAGGCTTGGTTATCGAAAACGAGTTTGCTCGCTATTTTGTGCATTATCCAATTTCACAACGAGGAATCTTCGGTGAATTACGTATTCACTAGGAGAAACCGGTTATCGAAAAGTTGAGCCTTTTTTAGTGCTTCGAGACCATGTTTGCTGAAGCCACAGTGTTGTTAAAATTTCTGAAAAGCTTCAAGGAATGAAATTGTGATGTGTGTCTCTCTATGCTAGACTTCATGATTACACTGTGCATTAAACGCTTATAGATTGCATATCGCTGCATTTACTTGTCTTTCCTTCGAATGTTTTATCATGCAGTTCGCACATTCGGATCAGACTACATCTGATTTGCATCGTTCGTTGCTCATACTCACCAACTCATTTCACGATCTATGTCACCCATCAACGCAACAACAACACTCCAAGTCCCTATTGACAATAAACGATTTCACGCGTTCTACTCCTGGACTTTATCGTCCCGCCGCGAACTCGGCTTCTGCCGAGGCCCCTCCGGTCAGCCCATATCCTGGCGTGTCCTGTGCTGTGGTCGAACCGGGTGAAAGTACCGTAGGCACGTGTCGTACGGGGAACACGACAGCTACTTCCGGCCTGGGATCCAGCTTGAATCCGACTGCGAGTAACGCAGATCTCGGTGTACGACCATCGGTATCGGATCAGTTCGGAGATAGCACAACTGGAAATAAAACGCAAGAACTGGTTACCCGAAATAACGGGGTTAAAGTGAGTAATCTGAAATGCATACCCCATGTTTAGGGCGTAATGATAAGGCTTGGTTCCTCACAAAATTACGGAACTACCGTTTTAAACTGCTATATAATCTACAGGTATTGATCAAACTCATGCAACATCCTGATTTTTATTGCATTTGTTCCTCTCAATGTTTCTTTTTTCCAGCCTCATTTACGCGATTGAATATGATATTGCCCCACATCAGACGCAACATATCTGATGTAATACCCACTTATGTCACTGCTTCTATTAACCGCATGCCATTAAAATGTACAATTCCACGATTTTGACGACGGTTGCTAGTGCATCAGTTGTAAGATAACAAAATGACAGTAGAAAACCTAATTGTAATTTATTTATTAAAATGACTCATAGACTTTATACAGGTATTGCACTTTCATCTCATCCATGTACCATTTGCTCCTCTTCGTTTCTGTGCACTGGAGGCAGTCGCTTTAGGATGGAATCCACCAAGTTGACTGCCAAACAGAATTTGCAAGCTTCCTCTAATACACCGCACACCCTTACCACTGGCGACCAATGGCAACTACAGGTGTTGGCCAAACTCGTGCAACATCACCCTCATTTCGAAAATCCATTTCAGATTGCAATACCATAGTTATATATAGATGGCTATGAGTGAAGTGTATTTATTCCTGACTTTATCTCCAACATCTATGTTCTTAGTTCTTTTCTATCACCGTTTGAGTTTGCGCGACTTTGAGTGTGGCAATAAAATTTGTAGTAGCTCAAAAGTTACAGCTCCGATTTAGAAAATATTTTTTGGGCAAAGCAGCATGGGAGCTTATCCTTTTTAACAGATGATTCTTGTTCTATAAGAGTTTCTATTTAGTTGAGCACACGTATTCTGAATTTCTTATCTCTTTTCATTCAGTGCACAGTAAATAAATAAATTAAAGAAAACATCCTGGCTTAAATAAATTGATAAATCATTTGGCTACAAACTACTCATGCATTATCTACCATACTGGAAGAACTGAAAACATAGTCCAAGAAACACATAAGTTGATCTTCGAAAGTTGACCTTGAGATGTGCGGCTCGTTGAACCAGCGTCCTGTAGTGTCACCATGCCCATATCGGATGAAATTGTCAAAAGATTTTGGCATATAATTGAAGCCGAGAAGCAAATTAATCGAGAGGCGCGTAAATCCGATGACTCAGTTAGTGTCTTAGGGAAGCGCATCGATGTGAACATAAGTCCAATTTGTTGCATATTCCACGATATTTCTCCATCGAGACATAAATCGAGAGGGAGAAAACCAGCCATATCAAAATAAGATAATGGTTGTATTTGATCGCAGCAGAGAAGAGTTGCACAAAATCAATCTGGAGGATAGTCCGGGCTGATTAGCCATTTTTCCCCCACGCTTTCGCTTGGAAAATGATGGCTTAATTTAACGTGCAGCTGAGGCCACGTGATATAAAGCTGTTATCGAACGCCCAACAAGCCAGAGAACGTATTGATTTGACCAACAAATTCAAATCGCTTCGCCCGCCCATTTGGCCATGGGTTTATCTCACTGGTGGCCAACAAGTATTTCAACATGCGGTGAAAGCTGATCTATTAAGCTAGTTTTCTAATGAATTTCTTTTTACCCGTCAAAAGAAGTAAATGTTTATCCCACCGAACGAGTTGGAAAGGAAGTGAATATTGAGCGTATTCTTGTTGGTTTGCTGTATACGCCAACATGGACATAGCAAAATTTCTTGCCCTGATACGGGAGGTTTTTGATAACTGTCACTCCAAAAATGCATTCGCTGAAGTCATATTTTTCACATATGAAGTTTGGTATATCTTCTCGTTCGAGGTTGGTGGTACAAAACGGTTAGATCAAAATAAATAATATTTTTTCACATTTATGCAGTTTCTAGACGGGTCGGGTTCAATGTCAAATTCGTTTTTATTAAGGTGCAGCAGCTGGGATTTTAATTTACTCGAAAACTTTTCCCTCTATCAGAAACAGGGATAAGTCAGCTACCTTGCCATTGGTCGCCAGTGGTAAGGGTGTGCGGTGTATTAGAGGAAGCTTGCAAATTCTGTTTGGCAGTCAACTTGGTGGATTCCATCCTAAAGCGACTGCCTCCAGTGCACAGAAACGAAGAGGAGCAAATGGTACATGGACGAGATAAAAGTACAATACCTGTATAAAGTCTATGAGTCATTTTAATAAATAAATTACAGTTACGTTTTCTACTGTCATTTTGTTATCTTACAACTGATGCACTAGCAACCGTCGTCAAAATCGTGGAATTGTACATTTTAATGGCATGCGGTTAATAGAAGCAGTGACATAAGTGGGTATTACATCAGATATGTTGCGTCTGATGTGGGGCAATATCATATTCAATCGCGTAAATGAGGCTGGAAAAAAGAAACATTGAGAGGAGCAAATGCAATAAAAATCAGGATGTTGCACGGGTTTGATCAATACCTGTATATCTATAAAATCAAATGTCGGAGCACAGACTGTGACAAAAAATCACGGTATAAGTCTTTGTGGAAAGAAGTTCCATTTTTTGCTGGTGAGCACGATACCGCTTGGCTACCCAGGTCAAAATAGCCGAAGTCTTCAGCCATTCAAAGCCTGGCCCATAAGGCAGCGGGCGGTGTCGCTATCGCAATCTGTTGTGGGCCCGTGTTCCATACATCTCGATGCCAGTGCAATCAGTCCTCAAACTTTATTGTCACTTGGTTTCACTTAGTTTCAGTTTCACACATCTAGCTAAAACTGTCAAATGGTGCATACACAAAATGAACTTTGTCATGTGCTGTGCTATCACTTTTCAGGATAAAATTATCGACCGGGTCTGCAAACAACGTGAGCACAACGCCGCTGAATGGGAACAGTCCCATGCACAATTTCGTGCTATTCGTGATCAGGTAGATCGTGTTCGTGGTCAACTGGACGGAACAAATGGCTCCGGCCGAATGACATCTAATCCACGAGGTTCACGCCAGAGATAGAGGGCGTCTGACGCAGTGAGTATCATTACGACTCAGAAATTGCAGAATATTTTCTGTGTATATGTAATGTTTATCCTTTCTCTCAACGGCTCATCGATATTCTTAGACCGTTAATTGAAATGATATCCGGCCTGAATGACATGCCGAATTAACGGACTGCTAGGTATCGTACGATCTTCGATAAGGGTGTACAAAAACATTATTTCAAAGGATATTTATTCAACTAGGTATACCAGCCCTTGTACTTGAAAATCTCATCCTCTACAGCTTTGCCAGCTAGGGTAAGTGGAAAGAGTGCGGTCGAATTCGAACAGGATCAATGCACCATGGCTTTGGAAAAAAGAACTTCAGATAAGAAACTTTTTTGTGGTTCTTTAGAACAGAGAGAAGACAAACACTGCGAGAAGTTAACATTCCTTTTAATTTCCTCAGTCTTTACAACGTAAAACAACCTGGCATATATATAAGCAAGTTTTGGTAACTAAAATGGTTCAACGGACAATAATCAGGGTAGAGGTGACATTTACATCGGCAGGACGAATCGGCCCTAGTCACAATGGATGTATGAACACATTCCCAAGGGTTTGGTACAATCAACGACGCAACACAGTCTTAGGGGTCAATCGGACAAAAGAAATCCAGAATCAATAATCGCAAAGCAGCCCATGACAACTGGGCACATTGTTGACCCAGATTTATCGTTCGTACGTAACACGAATCCCAGGATATCAGCGTTTAACGAGGCGATGATTATCAACTTACGTAACCTAATCTTGTGTGCACAAAAGTTATTGACACAATCAGTTACACTGACGTGGTACCGATTCCCTCACCGTCTACTCTGATGATTGTACGTTGAACCTTTATGATCATCAAAACTTGCTTGTATAAATACCAGATTGTTTCATGTTGTAGCGACTGAGGAGATTAAAAGAAAAGCTAACATCTCGTAGCATTTGTAGTCTCTCTGTTCTAATGAAGTGGATAAAGAGGACCCAATTTTTCAACTTCCTTGTGGTATCTGGTTGCAGTTCAGTTTTTACAACCATTAACCAGTTTTGGTTGCTCTCTTTTGGTTGCCCATCAGGATAAAATACCACAATGATGATTATAATGTTGAGAGCAGATTTAAGCGAAAGGTAGCATAGACTGAAGTTACAAGAATAATGGGTAGATGCATGAGCGCCACGGTTTGTGACACCCAGCTATATCGCTGAGTATCTCTAACCATCGGTGACCATCATCTCGGGGACCCCATCCAGGGAGCCTAACGGGACCTATGTGAGCCAGTCTCCTGGTCAGGGTTTTCATACCCTCATGTCAGGTCTTAGCTTGACCGCCCTTCATATTTTTTCCAACCGCTACCTGCCTCGCCAAGCATCGCTCGCCGTGGCAACCTATCTGGTGAGATGCGTATCACATGTCCCAACCAGCGTAATCTATGGAGGTTGACTACCTGTTCCAGTGGACGACCGCGACTACCTAAAACTCTACGCCTAACCTCAGCATTGCTCGTCCGGTTTCCCCACCAGACTCGTGCAATGCTGCGTAGACAGCGGTGTTCGAACACCGACGGTCTATTTTTATCCTGTTTCCGTAATGACCAAGTTTCCGTACTGTAGAGAAGCATTGACCGAACTACTGCAGCATATACTCAACCCTCCACAGACAACCGGATGTCGCGACGGCGCTACAGATGTCTCAAGTTGGCAAGTGCCAACCGAGCTTTCTGTATGGGTGCCGACAATTCATCTGTGATGCGTCCGCCAGGTGAGATATAGCTGCTCAGCTAGCAAAACTTGTCTACTTTCTCTACAACTCTCCCGGTCAGGGTGAGGCTGGGGACTGAGTCGACCCAATCTTGGAGCAGCATTTTACACTTTGAAGGTGCAAGCGCATGCCGAACATCGCTACACTAGCACTCCAACTATGCAGAAAAGCTTGCAACTTACCTGGATCTTCACTTAGTAGTACAATGTTGTCTGCATACTCTAGATCAGACAGCCTGCCACCTGGTAGTCAACCGATACCGCTATCCCCGCACGAGGATAGGGCTGTTTCAATAATTAAATCTATAACAAAGTTGAATAAAAATAGAGAGAGAGGGTAACCCTGTCGAACACCATTATCTGTAGTGAACTCGGGTGAAAAGTGCCGTAAGCTCGGACTCGGCTTCGGCTATTATCATAGAGGGATTGTAATGTTGAAATAAACTTCTCAAGCACACCCTTCAGGGAAAGGCAGCGCCAGAGTTTAGAGCGGTCGACTGAGTCAAAAGCCGCTTTCGGGTCGAGGAAGATGAAAATGGTTGGTCTACGAAAAGTGTCTGTGTTCTTGGATTTGACGAAGAGTAAAGATGTGGCTGATACAATCTGGACCAGGTCTAAAATCAGCCTAGGTCCTACGTGTGCACTCTTCACGATCGACAATCGACGGAGTATGCTCCCGGTGAGAAGTTCAGAGGCGATGTTAATTAAACTAATTGCTCTGTGGTTGTGCTGAGAGACGAACTGGTAGTTCCGCTTCGAAGGCCAATTTGCAACCATCGCTGACATTGTATCTTGGGCATCTGTTTTCGGTGGCTTTTCTGGGTTGGTTTACTAGGCGTAGAGAGAATCTCGCTCGTAGCAGAGTATGGTCTATGCCCACAGTTGGTAACCAGTAGGAGCGACAGCGGTGGCTGATGGCAATCTGGTCGATTTGAGTCCAGCGTTGTGAAGCGGTTGGCGGTCTCCATGTAAGTCAGTGGCGTTTTTTGTGGTAGAAGTTGGTGCTTGACAGAAACAGTCCGTGGTCAGCACAAAATTGGAGTAGGCGTTCTCCGTTGTTAGTCCTGTTGGTTGGGATTGCATGTGAACCTCCAAGTAGCCTCTCTGAGTCGTCCAGGGATCCCACTCGAGCATTGAAGTCTCCAGCGACCACCACGATGTTTGTTGACCGATCGATCACTTCGGAGCAGTTGAGAGAGGTCCTTGTGGAATCCATCCTTCACTTTTGGCGAACTGAAATTTGTCGGTGCATAGGTGGATACGACGAATAAACATCGACGTTTCGTTCTGTAGCTGTTGACTCGTACTAAACAGTCCAGACGTACGGCGCAAATCTGCTGTTAACCGGGATCCAATCGAGAAGTGAACGCTCGACCTTGACACTCAGCGCAATCCCAACACCGCANACTTCTCAAGCACACCCTTCAGGGAAAGGCAGCGCCAGAGTTTAGAGCGGTCGACTGAG